TCCACGTCCTCCTGTACCACGTCACTCCATCTCTTCTCTAGTCCGTGCCGCGCCCATTTAGCTCCCTCGATCCGGCGGAACAAAAGCTGTTTCGGCATCCGGTGGCTGGGCATGCGGGCTACATGACCCAGCCAACGCAGCCTTGCCTGCTGGAGGAGCTCACCGATGGGATCTTGCCCAGATCTTTCAAGGATTTTTGAGCTCCTCACACAATCCAGCCTGGTTAAACCCAGGATGGATCGTAGGCAGGCCAGCCAAATGTTTCCAACCGGCGAAAATACTCTATTAAGGGGGTCCACGTTTCGCAAGCGTAGAGAAGGGAGGGAATGACCGTGGCCGGGAAGACCTGAAGCTTAGTGCGGAGCGACAGACCAGGTAGCTTCCACACAGTGTTACGCAACCGATGAAAAGATATTGCCGCTCGACTGACTCGGAGTGAGACCTCTGCTGTTAAACTGGAGTCGGTCATAAGCCCACTGCCCAGGTATGGGAAACTCTCCACTCTCACCACAACTGCCCCATCACCGATTGGGAGTTGTGGGGGTGGAGTGTCCGATGGTACAAAATACCAAGGCAGGTGCTTCGTTTTGGTGGGGCTGATGGTAAGGCCCCATCTCTTAGTGGCACGCTCCAGTCTCAGCAGCAGCGTCTCAAACTCCTCCTCTGAATGAGCAGCTATTACCAAATCATCAGCATACATAACTTGGTTGAGCAATAGGGGGCCATCCCTTGACCGCACCCGGGCATCGATCAGCCTCCCATTATATCTGTACCAAATGGAGATTCCCCCGGTACAGCTATTGAAGGCTTCACAAACTACGTGGTCAAAATAGATGTTAAATAATGTGGGAGCCAGAGGACATCCCTGTCGCACCCCAAGATGTACAGGGAATGGCTCTGACTCCCTCCCATGTAGTTTTACCCGGGCCCGCTCACCTTCATGAAGGTCCTTAATGATCGTGAGCAGAGGGTCAGGGACTCCAAAAGCACGAAGAACAACCCAGAGCCCAAGCCTACTGATGGTATCATAGGCCTTGACCAGGTCAATAAAGCAGAGATGTAAGTCTTGTTGGAATTCCCTACACCTCTGCTGTAGCAGACGGACAGAAAATACGGCATCTGTGCAGGACCGCCCTTTCCTGAAACCGCATTGGGGCTCCGCAAGCCTCTCCTCAGCTGACTGGCGAGGCGATGTTGAATAATCCATGCCAGGACCGTTCCCGGCACACTGAGGAGTGAGATGCCCCTGTAGTTGTTACAGTCTGTGTGGTCCTCCTTCTTAAAGAGGGGGACCACCAGGGCATCCTTCCAATCCTGCGGAACCCGTCCAGTGGTCCAGACTGTTGTTATGATGTCATATAGGGCAGTCTGTGCACAAACGCCACCCTACCTCAGCATTTCGCTTGGGAGATCATCTCTGCCCGCTGCCTTTCCTGGTCTCAGACTCCGGATCGCCTTCAGTACTTCCTCAAGATGGTACTTCAGCCAGCCACTCACAGGGGGTAACTTCTTCCAATATTTGAGGCACCGCAGCCTCAGCAGGGTCATCCTCACTTTCTGCCACAATGTTTTCCTGGCTGAGGGATTTTCCCTCCCCCAGGACCTCACAGAAATGCTCAGCAAATCTGCAAACCTGTTCCTGGGGGTCAGAGATTGGATCACCGTTTTTTCCCCCAATGATGGTAATAGGTGTGGCGCTGCAGGTTACTTTTTTGATGGAGTTAGAGATTTGTGATCGCGGGCCACTGAGGCAGACTCCATCTCCTCAGCAACCCGCGACCACCACCCATCCTTGCAGCGCCTCACGGCTCTCCGAACCTCCGAGCGAAGGCTGCGGTAAGCCTCCTCATTCTCTGATGTGGGATTCTGTAGCCGATGACAGTGGGCCTGTCGCTTTTTCTCAACCATTCTGAACACCTCCTCTGTCAGCCAGGGTCTCTGGGGAGGGCTGGACCGCGTACCCAAAGCAGCCATTGCAGCTGCATGAGTCACAGTCCTAAACCTCGCCCATTTACCCTCGACATCAGAAGTGGGGGACGATGCCAATCCCAGCCGCAAGCGATGATGAAATTCTCGCTTGCAACTTTCATCAGATAACTGAGACCAGGCCACTTTAGGTTGGAATGGGGTCCTGGGTGTACACCCACCACCGGAGTGGAAGAATGGCAGGCGCATCTTACAGATGACTAGTCGATGGTCAGAGGGCAGATCAGCTCCACGGTAGGTCCTGGTGTCAAGGACATGGGCTCGCATCCGCTGGTCCGTCACTATGTAGTCCAGCAGATGTTCTTGCGTGGACCCGGCATGCATCCATGATGTTGTGTGGATGCGCCGATGCCGGAACAGCGTGTTGGTAATTACAAGCCCATGGGCTGCACAAAAATCTAGCAGCCTCCTACCGTTGTTATTGAGCTGATCTGGCCCATGCCCTCCAATCACTCCAGACCAGGTGCCAGCATCATGACCAACTCGGGCATTGAAGTCACCCAACATGATGACTCTATCCCGAGGTGCCACTTTAGCCAGCACCTGTGACAGGAGGTCATAGAAGGCATCCGACTCATCGGCTTTGCCTGCATCCCTCCACGGATGTTCGTCTTCGGTGGGGGCATAAGTAACCACGACCACCACTCCTCGCCTCCGGTTGATAGGAAGGCGAGCCCAAAGTAGCCTGGGGCTTACAGCTTCCCACACCTTACCGCCACGCTCCCACGCCCCCTTCATTCTTTTGTTCAAAAGAAGTGCCACACCCTGTTGTTTGGCAGTCTGCTGCCCCGAGTAGAGGACTGTCCACCCCTCATGGTGGCAGGAGCCAGAACTGGTCCACCGGACCTCCTGAATGCCACAGAGATCCAGGCGGTACCGGTCCAGTTCCCGACAGAGGAGTGGCAGCCTCTCCTCCGCAGTGAGTGTTCAAACATTCCACGTGGCCATCCGTAGTGGCTTTTCGTTGTTTCTGGAGGAGCCCCGAGGGTAGAGATTCAATCTACTGGCTCCACCAATTGGGGTTTGGCCAGGAGAGGTCACAGACGCCTGTCCCCCCGGGGCCTCCGGCACAAGCTTATTAGTTACATATTTCAGTTAAACTCGTGGTTTAGTGGTAATTAATTGAAGGTGGAGGGGTTACCAGCCCCTCGCACCTGTCCAGAGCCCCCGTTTAGCCACTGTGGTGGACACAGATGCCATGAGGGGAGGAGCCAATCGGAATTGGCCCTCCCCCCACAGCACTGTCCACGACAGAGATGCCCATCCGGCATGGCGAGGAGGTAGTGGGTTGTTTTGCCACACGGAGACACACAGACACACGAGCAGAGAGACAACACAGAGAGACACACATTGTATCCCACATTGTATCCCTCCATGAGCTTCTATTCCGTGCCTCTTCCGAGTCAAATCCATTGCCCCCCAACTGCCCAGAACTCCCCTCGGTTCCTACATAGCGTGCGTACAGATGCGCTTCTGCGCCCGTCTGAAATGCTCTTCCTTCCGATATTAGGAAGCCACTGGAGCGATGCACTCTTAAATATTAGATTGAAAATTAATTCCTTCAGAACTGCTTTGTTGCGTTAAGTTTGTTGCCCTTCATCCGCACCTCCGATTAGCGCGGTTGGCTACGTACGGTACAAAAGAAGTTCAACATATACTACCCTTCACCGGTGTGGTGAAGTATGATCAAACACCCAGGACTGAGACGGCACTTGGGGGACCGTCCTGAAGCAGTGGATTGACGAAGGGGTGTACCAAATCCGCGGCATTTAGGAGTCATAATTTTTATATCAAGGTTAAAATGTGTTGGCGAAAGATGGCTACTCTACATCACCATAGCAATGCACGTGCTCTTTACAGACGCCGTGTTTATGCGTGGGGCTAACAATATAGCCACCTTGCACAAGGTTAAGTTCAGCTGAACCCTGATCCCATTACAACGTTCTTGCAGAAAGGAATGCCAGCGATGTTTCAAAGGGCACAATGGATCCATAATAGGGACGTAAACACAATGCGTTTTAATGGACTTGCTCTGCATACAATACTCGCATGGGAGTGCCAGAAAGGAGATTCGACAAACACGTTCTTCTACACTACCAAAATGTAATCGTCATTGTTAAAATGGAACACTTTAAATGCATTGTAGTGTTTCTTTGTAACCTTCACCTGTTAAACGTGTCAATGCTACGAGAGAAGTACGGTAATCATTCCTCCGACTATACTTCCACTTCGCCTTGATAGTCTCACTGCCTGCATCTGTATCTGTTATCAGCGGTTGCATAAAAAAAAAATCTCAAATTAATGGGCATTTGATCAAAAGGTATTCTCAAAATGGTAATAATCATTACGATGATTGACAGGGCTTTCTTTCAATCCGCTGCTGGATGGACTCCCGACATATTACCACTCCCGTGCAGCAATGCCAGCACTCTCCCAACCATCCATGCGAGTCGGCAGCAGCTCCTGCTCTCGGGCGAGCCGACCTCGGCTGCTTACACATTTTTAAGTTACAAATCTCTCACGTGTGCAGTTTTCCTTAGCTGCAGGAAGGCGTGGGGGAAAAAAAAACAAACAGCGGACAAGCGGGAAGGGCGATCAGAACCCGGAGCCAAAAATGCATCCAAAGCTCTTGTGGGCCTGAATTAGGATGTTCGGTCAACTGCACGAACACGTGTTTTATATACATGTGGGAGTAAACCAGATTACCGGGGAGAAAGCCCACACACGTGCGATGTTGGGGAGGGGGTGTGGGAAACACCTCATCCCCGTGCAGATGGAAACAAATTGGAGATTAATACACTTGCTGTACCGCCATCTCCTGGCGAGCCAGGGTATGGCGACCTTAACGCTCATGGAAAGGAAGTTTCACGAGATGCGCGCGATCCACCAACCCCCCGTCTCCAGGTGCTACACTGCCGCTTGTTAAGCAAGAGAAAAATCGATAGTTTACGATTCAATACAAGTCGCAGAACTCACCGATGCATGGGCACGCAAGAATGCAAGCGCAAACCAAGTGAGCATTTTATTTTATTCAAGTGCATTTCAAGCATACCGTTTTGACTTAATGCGATAGAAGACCAGACAGCACAATTCATTTATAAAATCACCCTCTTAAGCATTGCATACAAAGAGCTAGTTCATACGCAACACTTGTGCGTATTGCATGGAGGATATGCACATTTACCGTTGTACATCACGTTGTTGTTTTGTTAATTCTTGCAGCATTCATGGGCAAATGTTTAAATTTTATTCATTTATCCAGCACCAAATCTTAACTGATACCCAGTCTTCTTGGTTCTTTCGGTAAAGTCACGTAGAAGGGAAATAATAAAAATAAAACATGATTATTGTTTTTTTATCATTGTGTTTTTATTATCATTTTATTATTAATAAAACATTATTGTTTTATTTGTATTATTGTTTTATTTTTATTACTTTATTATTTCCCTTCTACGTGACTTTACCGAAAGAACCAAGAAGATGAATCCCTGGAGTCACGAAGGCTTTAAATCGAAAATGATACCCAGTCTTTGAAACCTTAAACAAAGTGTTTCAACACTATCTGTATTAGTAATATTTTTTCTAATTTTCTTGCTGTGGTTTTCACACCTGATGATGATTGCTTGTGTTGCAGTCGAAACGTCGTGATAATTTTGTATTATTTTTATTATTTTATTTCCCTTCTACGTGACTTTACCGAGAGAACCAAGGAATATGAATCCCTGCAGTCACGAAAGCTTTAAATCAAAATTTCCCAATTGCTTAGTGATGGTAGCCTTGAAGACTACGAGAATGGCACGAAGACCAAATGTACCCAATTACGTCTTCATTTCCAAGGAAAGTGCATCTTCGGTACACCTGAGCATGCACGGCAGCCGCTTACAGACAACATCAATAGCAAGCAGAACCCTACCGTCGAGTAAATCGGGATAACGCAAACGGGCAAAAGCAAGAGCTCGCATTGGGAACAGAACCTTGGGCCCCTTCTGCATGGAGGCGATTGGGCTGGCTCCAGGGCACCAGGGGTGACAGCATCGGCACGGGCTACAGGCGAGAAAGTATGCTCTCGGCGAGGCTGCAGGTGAGACCCGTTCCGTCTGGCTCCACGTTGAGCTGCTTGACGACGCCGTCCTCTACGAGCATGGAGTACCTGCGGGGCCAGGCGCACGCGCAACAAGCACCCAGGCGGTCAACGTCGCGGTCGGTGGCATTCGCGCCGCTCGAAGTAGTTCCCGCCGAGCGAATGCATTGTAAGGTCGCACTCATTACGCACGAAGTGCTTGCCACAAATGAACCGCAATGCCTCGTCGATCTCGTCAAGGAGCATAAGCCATCACACGAACTCCGGTTATCCTCGCAGCAACGGCTTTTGGCCAGCCATCGAACAAAGACGGTCACCGCATCGCACGCTTTCAGATGCGCTTCCGCGGCCGTCTGGAACGCTCTTCTTTCTGATATGCACTTTTTATACCTAAATTGAAAACTAATTTCTTTGGAACTGCTTTTTGTTTTTAGGTTGTTATCCTTTCCCTCCGCACCACCAATTAGAACGGTTGGCTACGTACGGTGCGCGAGAGAAGTTCAACATACATATATCGTTCCCCACCCTCCCGCTTCCACCCCCCCCCCCCACGGCCATTGTGTGAGGACCACATTATACATGCAGAGGGGAATCATGCCCGATGCTCAAGAATAACAACAGAGTGGCAGTTCATGTTAACGTTACTGAAGCGGAAGTGGAGTCGGGAACGAATGTAGCCGCTGTCCACCTCTATCTATCAAGGCGAGCACACCGTGGCAATAGGACGCAAACGCCACAATACCTCTGCGAGCGTTTGTTTCCCAGGACCGAGATGAGTGGCTCCTTGTCAATCACCAAGTCCACAGCCTGCGAAAGAAACACAGCGGCAGTCAAGAAAGCGTTTAAGTCCAGACGTCCAGTCCATCACGAACGCGCCGCCGCGTTGATTACACACAGTGCAAGCTCAATGGAATGACGCCACAGTTTTAAGTCTGTTGCAAAGCGGACTCGGACTCCGGGTCCGTATCGAACCCACGACCTCCGGCATACCAGGCGAGGTAGTTAACATCACCATCGTGGCGCCCCCTTCTACGTTCACCATCGCTCACTACGGGCAGACTAATGCCCAATTGCAGACTGTTACTGCATTCACCTTGTATTGCACAGGGACAGCTGCCACGTGGGGTCCCCCCCCCCACCTTTAGCTAGACTGAAGCAGGGCACCACAATGGTGAGGAGATTAAATATTAGGCGGTTTAGTTAGAGTCAATGAAGCCGCCAGAAAAAAAAAACATTAATTTCACTCGCATAGTCAGCGAAGGACCGTTGTGCCAAACATGAGACCTCTTGCGACACCATTCGCATAAACTGGCCACACACCGGCGTCGAGTGCGAGTGATTTGTTTGATCCACGGATCACGGGGGGGGGGGGCGGTCAACTTCAAACGTCAACCGCCAATTGAAGCGAGCGCAATTTTCTGCAGGAGTTTGTGCATCAAGATGGGCGATGTGTCCAAAATGTGACGGCTCCTTAATTTTTACGTCTTTGCATTTGGAAGGTTGAGAATTGGCAGCCTGGGAGTTGACCACATTGAGCAAGGGACTTCACGGGAAATCAAGCAGGGGTCATCCAATGGCGAGACTGGCTCCTGCCATGGGGGATTGTAACATTTCTAGCACTGGATCAGCATGGACAAGTGACAGGCTCAGCTACACTGCTCAATGGCACAAGGAGTGACTCTGTCCCGACTTGCTGTTGTACTTGCTCAGCTTCATGTACATCTGGTTACTACGAGGTTCATAAGCAATGCATCTCGTCACCTCACAGTTAAAAAGAGGATGAAAGCACAAATCACGAGTACCTTTGCGAATGCTCCAGTAGGATCGGCCAACATCTGCACCTAAAAAAAAAAACACCCATCACAATGTCCATTACATTTCGTAAACGTTAAACATTTTCTGTGTCAGGTTTTCACGGCTGTGGTGCTTATATCCCAGACAGATGTGTTTTCGGTGTTATTTTGCACGTTGTCCGACGGTTCGCTCTGCGTTCTGGGAGCATATTCAGCTCCCGAAGAAGTGCCTGAAAAAGGGCTCCCAGCGTGCGAGGCAAAAATGTCGGACATCGCGCCGAATGACAGACAAGAGGCACATCTCGAATTCACATCGGGAGACCTTGAAACCATGCTGGTTGGGAAGAGTGGCCTTCGTCAGTAACAGAGCTTTTGGAAGAAGAAGAGTCGACGGATCAAACAAATGTTGTTTACTGTGAGACTCCAAACTTTAAAAAGGGCCATGAAATGACCGGCACATGCCAATACAGAAAACAAGTCCCATACTTGGTTCTTTCGGTAACGTCACGTTGAAGGGAAACAATAAAATAATAAACAATAAAATGATTGTTTATTGCAACAGTCGAAACGTCGTGAGAATTTAATTGTTTTATATAGATTTTATTATTTTATTTCCCTTCAACGTGACTTTACCAAAATAACCAAGAATATGAATCACTGCAGTCACGAAAGCTTTAACTCAAAATTTAACAGTCCCATACTCTTTTCACTTGAGGGTTATATTCCACCGTAAGCATGTGTTTTCATAGAGTACGTCAACTTTCCTCTCACAAGTAAAAACAACACGTATACGTACAGGCTTTTCGCCTGCCAGTGCGGGTTAGTGATGCCAGGCAGCATAGAAGTTGGAGCACAGTGCAGTACAATAATGAGTTTTCTGCCCTGCCCTCTCCTGACAATGTAACCCAGCAGTAGCCTACCACATCTGTTTGAAGCATGGTGTGTTTCCCATCCCAATACCATAAAAGTTCAACCCTGCTTAGCATGGGCGATTTGGGTCACAGGTAAAATACTCAAATACCCATGAAAGAATTGGCCTACCATCCCGAGTGCCCTCCAAATAAAATGCACGTCAAACCTACGGTCGAGGCTATTCCTAAACAAAGGATATTATTACACTTAAAACAAGAAAATAACATGTGCACAAATTTTCTTGTTGTGGTTTTCACACCTGATGATAATTGCTTGTGTTGCAGTCGAAACGTCGTGAGAATTTTATTTTTTTATATTTTTATTATTTTATTGTTTCCCTTCTATGTGACTTTACCGAAAGAACCAATAATATGTGCGCGTACCATCGTAAGTACGTTCTGCAACCCCCACTGGACTACAAGTGCCTCTCAAGTTCAGAATGTAATGACATTTCGTTTATCCGCGATTACTGCTGCGTTTGAACATCTGACACATCGGAAGGATGGATCTCATTGGTCGGAATTATCCAAGAGTAAAGCGATGCCTCTATTATTTCTACCGCCCCCTGCCCCCCCCTTTCAAAAGATTGGTTTAATTTTTGTATTCCATTGATACCATCCCTCTCTCTCTCTCTGTATTCCCCGACTTTGATATGGATAGACCTATTACAACATGCCCGTGGCCGGGAATCCTTTGCGACACGAAACCTTCTCTTCTCTTGCAACGGGAGACCCCGTGGCTGCTGCACGAGAAACACGCCGAGGCGAACATCTCCCTCTTACACCGATTCAGATAACAAACCAAGGGAGAATGTCAATCACTGTGACGCTGCCGCGGTGCAATGGCGAAGCCCGCTGGACTTGCAATCCAGGAGGTCGCCGGTTCATCTTCGGGCGCGGCGGTTAAAACGACAGTGGCAAGCGTCTTAAAATCACCTCCCCCACAGTCCTCGACTACGTACACCCAGCAGTATAACATGGGTACACCAGGGAGGAGTTTATTGGAAGGTTATGCGGTGGGGTTAAGTGTGGGTAATTCCACTTCTACCAAGACTGTAGGCCCTGAGTGGAGGGCTTTCTGCCAGTTGTGGTCTAAGAAATGTATTGCAGGGCTGCACCCTTATCTTTGACAAATACCCTGTTATGTAACTGACAGATAGTAAAATGGTGATCATCACACTTCTTGTAAAACTGGTGCTACTGCAGATGTCAAGGGCGTAAATTCAGCGATTAATAATGCTTATTAAGCTCACGGTACATGGAATCGGCATTTTACAATTCGTACATCTACAGGGGTTCAACCTTCAGCCACTAGTTGATGCTATATTGACGGCAATGTAAACAGAAAAGCACACGTGATGTCATGTTAATGATATAACATGCGTTTTTTATGGAAGTGGCATCCCATAAAAAGCGCATTAACATGACATCAAGTCTCATGATGGGTCACATTTTCAGAACAATCCTAAACCACAAAAAAAAATCCAGAACATAAAAAATGTAACTGACCAATTTTTTTTTCAAATAATTTCATATTACACTATGAGACCTCCTTTGACAGTAGCAAGATATAGTAATAGGTTTTCACCCTTTTAATTGGCACAAAAACTGACACCTTTATACAAGGGATCATGTTTGCAATAACCACAACACAAGCAGTCAAAATGCAAACAAAAGAGACAACTCTGATAATGATATGCACTGTCCTTGAAATTGATTGGTCCACACCCGAGACAGCTTTTCTTAGAGCCTAGTCTCCACTGGTGTTGGACGCCTTTTGGCGTCATCTGGTCCAACACCAGTGGAGACTAGGCTCTAAGAAAAGCCGTCTCGGGTGTGGACCAATCAATTTCAAGGACAGTGCATATCATTATCAGAGTTCATATTCTTGGTTCTTTCGGTAAAGTCACGTTGAAAGGAATCAATAAAATATAAAACAATAAAATTCTCACGACGTTTCGACTGCAACACAAACAGTGATGATGACTGTTTGTGTTGCAGTCGAAACGTCGTGAGAATTTTTTTGTTTTATATTTATTGTATTACTTTGTTTCCCTTCAACGTGACTTTACCGAAAGAACCAAGAATGTGAATCACTGCAGTCACGAAGGCTTTAAATAAAAAATGATCAGAGTTGCCTCTTTTTGTTTGCATTTTGACTGCTTGTGTTGTGGTTATTGCAAACGTGATCCCTTGTATAAAAGGTGTCAAGTTTTGGTGCCAGATAAAAGGGTAAAAAACCTATAACTACTACTAATTTCATATTAGTACAAAAATCGGGAACATCCCAAGTACAGATGGTCGAACCGTACCTTTCCAGCTGCGTTGTGCGCGTCGCCCCACGCGGTCATCACAAACACGTCATTGACGGCCACGCAGGCGAGCACATCGATCCCCTTCGACTTGAGCTCCCCAGCCTTGGCGATGTAGCCCGGCAAGTGGGTCTGCGGAGCATCAACGGAACGCGCAATTTCTCGTTGTTTTCTATGCCTTTACATTGATGACAGCCTACACGTGGCCCATTCTGCTATCCCTTTCCCGTTCCGATCACGTACGTGCACGTCATCAGTTTTTCTTCCGGTTCTGTTCCGACGACGTACAGGTACGTCATCGGAAGAAACATCGCCGAATCAGAAGGAAAAACTAAAAATAACTTTATCTGTACCGAGGCTCTCACAAGGCCATGTGCGAGGGGGCGTGTGGCACAGTTTGGCACCAGCTATCAGAGTGCGATCGTGTCACGACAGTTCTTTGCCTGCGAGTACAATGTCTTTAAAATCAACGGCGGTGACCGGGACCCATCTGCAGTCGTCTCCAAAACGGGAAAAGGGTTAAGTGAGAAATCATGATTAATCCCATCAACCCGGCGACCGAACATCGATCAATGATCTCCTGGCCTCCGGGAGCAACAACTCAAGGCACAACAATGGCCCTCTTTTCCAGGGCCAAACGACACACTTTCAGATAGGCCCTGCAATGAGGATCCTCCAACTCAACATTGAGGGACTTACCCAGGCAAAGTGCAAGGTGTCTCACGAACATATGTGAAGAGGAGAAATCTACAATGACCAACAGGCCGGTTACTAACATACCCAGGGATACGACCTCACATGACGAGCCACCATAACCCAAAACTTGGTCTGGCCACATAAGGGCCAATCATTAACAAAGCCGTAGAAGAGAACATAATGTATTGTTGGCTAATGTTTCTGAAATCTTACCAAGAGCAGAAAGCAGCCAAAAATGCCAATGAAAAATGTGAAAAGGGTATTATACCTGTGTGGTGCCTTGATGAAAGTTGACATATGAACAGGTTTCAATAAAACAGTTTTCCATTGTTAGATAATAAATAGCAGACACAGCCCTACAGTCAAAACAGATGCATAAACTCAATGTTTCAAATGATAAAAAAAAATTTACACTGTGGATCCATATCATGAGAGGTCAACTGAACATATGCTTCATTTGTTCTTATACACCCCACAGACAATGTAACCCATATGTTTTATACTTTCATTTTATCATGACTTACATAAGCAATGTGCTACTGCAATTGCGGCTCAGAAACAAATAATGACATAAGGGCAAATGAATTCTGAGCAAGGGTGTTGATGATGATTAAGCCAAGGTAATGTGGTCTTTTAAATACACTTGTGTTTACCAACAGCTGACGAGTCACCACTCAAATGAACGCTCTGCCTATAGAACCATGCGTCTCGATCACGGTTTCAAATTCCTCTCCACACACTGGGCTGCATGGACAAACAAAAGGCGACTCTCTCAATGCACCATGTGTCATGGCTTAGCCAGTGTCATATTTAGAAACATGCATTTAGATGTGGAGGGAAAAAAACTGGAGGATCGGGAGAAAAATCCACGCGACCACGGGGAGAACACGCAAACTCCAAGTACACAGGCGTCAGGGTCGGGGATCGAATTCACGACCTTCTGTATGTATACCAGGCGAGGTTGTTAATGACACCCTCGCCACCGTGACGCCAAATCCCGCACGCATTAAAAGCACGGGGCAAAATGTTGCTCCTCTGCTGTATACTACTCAGCTGTCACTGCCGCCACACCTTTGAGCAGCCAGGAGTGAAGGCCCCGGGTACGGCAAAGAGGATTCCTCTTTTCCCGGAGAAGAGCTGGGCAACGTTGACCGTGTTGCCGGGCTGGCCTTCCTGCAGCTCCACGCTGGGCAGTCGTTCTCCTACCTGCACCAAGAAAAGGGGCAGCGGAACTTAGCAGCAGTGCTTGCGTGACCTTGCCCAACGGTATTGGTAAAACCTATGTGCAATTTACAAGTGACAGCGTGTCATGTGCATAAGGGTGTTAGAAAGTATCACATGTGACTGGGTGCCAACCATGGCAGACCACTCAACTTGCAGCCTGAATGGGCGCAAGTTCAAAACCTGGGAGTGCGTTCACTCGAGTCTTACATTTCATGCTGGGACTCACGGAGCCACGGCTGAGGTTGAGGCCAGGAGCCTTTTGGTTCGAGACCGGTGTCAAGGTCGGTTAAGGCCGGCTCCTCTAAGTCAAGGCAAAGGACAAGAGCTGAGACAATGCTCTCAACGAGCGAATGCTGGTTTACTCAGGCCATTTAATTTTTGGTTTGATAAAATAAAGTACCACTTTGATGGAAGTCAAAAGTGGTTTCCTTGTAGCAAGACTGGCCTCCGCCTTAGAAATGTTCAATTTCCACCATAGGTTCAGAGTCCTAAGTTAACTACCACCCCATGCACACGTAAACAAACACGGTGGACAATAGGAGGCATTAAAGCAAATTGCTGGTGGTTTTGACCAGCACAGGGGTGGAGAGTTTATTATAGTGTCTTACTGTATTATGCTATGCACCGCTGCATCCTCCTCCTGATCATCAACCCTTCATCTGCAGCAGTGGTGGGAAACCCTTTGCGTGCAGACCGTATCCAGTCTGCAAATCCATTTCATATGGTCCATGACCACACGAGGCCTACCACTTTTACACAGCCCACAATCGATATGTATGCGTCACTGCAAGCGTCTTAGCTGAACTAATCGGATAGGAGATGGGGATATGTTCGACTTGCCAACAGAATTTCTAATTCTAGATTTCAAGTTTTCGTGACTGCAAGGATCCATATTCTTTGTTTCTATTCGGTAAAGTTACGTAGGTAAAAAATAAAACAATAAAAATCACAACGTTTCGGCCACAACACCTGATGAAGGCTACTTGTGTTGTGGCCGAAACGTCGTGATTTTTATTGTTTTATTTTTTACCTACGTGACTTTACCGAATAGAACCAAAGAGTATAGGATTTCTAATTTTAGCACACGTGTAGTCGCGCTTCTGTCACTGCAAGGACCTCGTGCAGTAGCAAAAACGACCGAGCGCCGTGTCCGTCCGTATCCGTCCGTATGTTGGTGTGGCCTTCAATAAGTGCTGACTAACAGCATTTTGAAAGGCTATAGTGGGGATCTTTGTCTGGTGTGGTTTGACCACCAAATTTAATTAAAAGTCCTATTCGGTTCTCAGTAAGAAAAGCACCTAACCCTGCCCCGAGGGCAATCCATGATGTATTTAGACGCCTATTAAATTTAAAGTGGAGTTGTATCAGCCTGCAAGTAGTGCACATTCATAGGAGTGCATTTTAAAAGTGTTGGTGACCTCAGGCTCAAACAAGGACTGGGCAGTGCTCAAATCTGCATGTTTTGTTTAAATGTTCACCACAATTGTGTGGTTAATGCTGACATGATTCCTTACCAAAGGTTTCTGTTTGGCGTTTGAACATCTTAACAGCTGTTTTATTTCCATAAAGGGTGAAACCTTTTCTTATACAAATCTCCATTGTCGAACCTTTGTCACGTGTGCTGTTTTTCAGCAGATGCAATACTGAAAACGCATTAAAAATGTTTCACCGTTTCTACCCTCTCAATTGACAAAATGTTGCAGCACTTGGCGCGAATGGCGGCCGTGAGCCAGTGGTGGAAATTCCACAATCCCATGACTGGGGCCAGTCTCCACTCAGGACTAGATGGCTTCAAATGAGTAACGATATCAGGAGCACGAATGAAATCATTACACTGCAAGATGGACAATAACATACAGGTAGTCCCCGACTTACGATGGTCCGACCTACGATATTTCGATCTTACGATGGCGATAGCGATACGACAAAATTGTAAAATATTTTAAATTTCGCGCGGCAGGCAAACGCAGCAGCGTACGAGGTACGATACTGTACGTTGGGACGCTGCCGGGATGTACGCGTCTCCCGCCTTGTGTGGTGATGCCTCACTCTCAATGCATGCTAAAAGTTTTAATAGCAGATAGGATTGTTTCCTGAAAAAATATATATATTAAATTGCAGTTCATACAGGTAGGCTAAGAATTTACCTTGTTTTTTTGACTTTACATTTTACTGTGCAATACAGTATTGTAATTAATAAATACATACAGTATATAGTTTATACAGTACGGCACTGTAAATTGCTCCGTTTTGCTAAATTATCACCGTCCTTTAAGACTCCTGGGTAGGCTAGGGCCATCTTCGACTTACGATCTTTTTTGACTTACGATGGGGTCGTCGTAACGCATCTCCATCGTAAGTAGAGGACTTCCTGTACGTACATTATATTTCAATTGTCAAACCACTGTTGGATGAAGGCGTTAACAAACCCCTGATGGCTCATGGGGGAGTTGGTTGACCATACTTCACCACACTAGTTAGTTCGGGTTGGTTGAAGGGGTGGGGGGGTACCCAGGACAGGGTTCATACATCACTCGCCACTGATGTTAGCCAGGACTCGAACCCCAAGGACACCGGGCTCACAGCGCAGTGCGCTAACCATGGATCATGGCACTAACATCTCTTTTAATCAATCCACTGCTGAATGATGGCCTTCACCTTACCACGTCCATGGCTATAATCGGGACAGTTTGACCATACTTCGCCACGCTGGTCAATGCGGATCGGTGAAGTGGGGAGCTTAGGGCTAGATGCATTTACAGTATGTTGAACTTATTTCGCACCGTACGTAGCCAACCGTGATAATCGGAGGTGTGGATCAGATATCACATACACTATACGCAGCACCGAATTAAAAACACACACACATTTACGATATCTTCTATATATAAAAATGAAAGCCTGCGTTCTGAATACAAATCCACACCGTTGAAGCTATCGCCACCAAACTTTGCAGGGGTAACATTTTAAAACCTGAGCTACATGGCGAGCCCACACTTCATATGGGGGGGGGGGGGGGACGGAGCCCCCCAAACGCTCCAAGTGACGTCATAATCCCTAATCCAGCACGTGTGAACCTGTCAACCCCTGAGCAGTGCCCAACCTTATTACAGACCAATTCAGACCTTATTAGTCACCCCGTGCCCCTTATAAATCTCAACGTTCATCCTACAAAGTCCCACCAACAAGGGAGAAACACAAACAAATCATTCATAATAAAGGTTTTTGGGTTAGATCGCGTTATTTATAAATGTGTCGTAACCCTCCACCACCCGACACGGCCAATCAGCAAAAAAAGTGTCACGTTGACAAAAGACAAATAATTCACTACTTTAGCCCACCGGTGTGTTGAAGAGTGAATCCACATTTACAGTTTTAATACGACGCTTCGCTGGTAATTACATCCAGCATCATCGAGCAATTCGCCAGAATGGTAAAGCCCTCACCTGCTCCCGGTCTTAAATTGAGCAGCAGGGTGACGTCATCGTGTATTAATTACACAATGTAACACGATTTTTGTTCCTGTGTAGTAAGTGTTATCTTCTAATTGCTTATGCCTCGAAAGTATAGAAAATGGATATTATTCCACGCAAACTTTGCTTTTGTGACCAGGACTTGATGTGAATGAATGACACAAACGCACACCACGTTTTCTCATTGAAAATAAGTACATTTAAAAATGTCACCGTCCTGTTCACAAAAAAAAACAAAGTTTATGGGGAATAATAACCATTTTCTATACTTTTGAGGCATAAGCAAATTATCAAATAACACTTACTACCCAGGAACAATTTTTTTTGTTTTGCTACACAGTGCTATTAATGCAAACCGCTGTTGTTTGTACTGCATCGATGGAACTAACCCAACACGTGTCGATTTAAAGCTTTCGTGACTGCTGGGTATTCATAACATTGGTTATTTCGGTAAAGTCACCGCGTAAGATGGGAAATAATACAATAAATAGCTAAAATAATAACAATTCTTATTTCATTATTTCCCTTCGACGTGACTTCACCGAAAGAACCAAGAATATAACCCAAACGTGTGTTTGTGTCACCCAGGTGCCCCCAGCCCTCCCCCCCCCCCCCCAACTTTCATTGTTGGCACAGTGCGGGCGACCCCACACACCAGGCCCAAGTGGGGTCGCTACAGAGGGCGTTGATGGCACACGCCGCGCACAGCACGAAACGACTGCTACAACAACTACCAACAGCAACGATTACAATGACGCTGCAGTACAAGGTGGTGGTGGTGTTGGTGATGATGGTGAAGATGATGATGATGGTGGTGATGGTGGTGACGATGGTGCTTAGCGCGCTAGCACTACGAACCCGGCCTTTACCCCAGTTCGAATCCCGCTCACGGTTCCCATTAATCAGCGATGAATATCCGAACCGGTCCTGAGCGCCCACCCCACACAGCCCCCCCACCTAGGTCGACTCGGCATCAAACGAGTACCCGGTGCGGTGTAAGGACACTAAGACGGCCGCGGCGTTATAGCCACTCGCCCACCCCACGCGCCATGCCGACCTTCATCGGCGATCGCCGACAGCGCTTGGCCCCAGACACAGCGCGTTGCTGTTGTTGTGAGGCTGTAGCTTGTCAACACCGCAATGCGCGTGATTGATGATGATGATGATCATGATGATGGTGAGGAATCTTTATCCGCGAAGCTGGCGCTCCCTCACCTTGATGGGCATGGCGAGAGCTGCTCTTCCGGTGTGCAGCGGCGACCTTTGGACCCGGGGTAGAAGCGCGGAAGCGACGGTGAGACGCATCATCACCAGCAGCAGCAGCAGCAAGGGATAATTAAACCCACGAGGTTTATTGTGGGTGTGGTGGGTATGGGTGTGGTGGTGATTTAGAGGGTTTTAGCTCTGCAATGCGACACGGGCAGAGGGGCGAACCGGGGCGAAGTCGCTGGGCCGCCCAGGGCGAGCGAGTCGAGGTGCAGCCCTGCAAGTGCGCGCTCACGCCACTGCCGGCGGAAGAATATCCCTAAGAAAGTAACATCCGGAGGCAGGGTTTTTTTTGCCAAACTTCACATCTTGCGGTCGGTCCACCACTGTATTTCCGCGTTCATCAAATTTACACTCCCCCCCCCCCACCTTACCCCTGCAATATTTAATTTAAATTTTACCTACGTGACTTTACCGAATAGAACCAAAGAGTGTGGATCCTTGCAGTCACGAAAGCTTCAAATCTAGAATTTAATTTAAAATGAACTCGTCCCACGCTGCACGCGCCCGATGATTGTTAAACGCGTCCAACGTGACGCGCTAATCGATTAATCGATGAACGATGGCCTGCGCTAATTAGAGCCGATTCAAAATCTAGATTTAAAGCTTTCGTGACTGCTAGGATCCATACTCTTTGGTTCTATTGGGTAAAGTCACGTAAGAGTACCGATTCAAATTAACACTGCCATCTCGGTGTGCGCGCGTGGTGTGTACACGCGTACCACATACACGCACACAACGCGAATTGCTCAGTACGTTACGTGGGGACGGCCTTCAGCAATAATCGTATAGGAAATGGTGTTGTTCAACGTGTGTTGGGTTAAAGTGTGGTAAACGCGGAAAGATGTAGAGTGGTGGGTCGCGAGGATGATATAATCGGCCTAACTCCTTCCTCACCAGTTGACCAGTCGTCTGGAAAGTGATGGGATTACCCACACGTTAACCCACCACACGCTGGCTAGGACAGAGACGTCGGGATTTAAGAAACTTCCGATTTAAAGCTTTCGTGACTGCAAGGATTCATCTTCTTTGGTTCTTTCGGTAAAGTCACGTAGAATGAGAATAAAATAATAAATTGATAAAATAAAAAACACAATAAAAATTCTCACGACGTTTCGGCAACAACACAAGCGGCCTTCATCAGGTGAAGGGACGAGACTGTCTGGAGGACAGCGCTGGAGTGAGAAAGCCACGCTGAGATCACGACCTTTAAGCTGTGTGAGAAGAAACAAAGAGCCTTGACAAAGGAATTAGCATATAATTTAGCATTGAAATGGCTGAGTGATTAGAGTATAAGAAACTTGCCACAATTGCCACAATTGTTTAAAATGCCTCGCCCCCGGAGATCGAATCTGACCAGTGACCTCTGGATCGCAAGCCCAGTGTGCTCTCCATTATAACCACGCCAGCACTGTGTTGGTGGTGGTTTATTAAAATCATGCTGAGCACGTAAAAAGGCCCAAAACGCCAAGCGGTCAGCAACAAACGGCACTCTCACAGTTGTGTTTATTATATTCTTGGTTCTTTCGGTAAAGTTGAAGGGAAACAATAAAATAATAATATATATAATACAATAAAATTCACACCTGGTGATGACTGTGTTACAGTCGAAACGTCGTGAGAATTTTATTGTTTTATATATATTTTTTATTATTTTATTGTTTCCCTTCAACGTGATTTTACCGAAAGAACCAAGAATATGAATCACTGCAGTCACGAAAGCTTTAAATCAAAATTCAGTTGTGTTAATTGTTTATTTCCCAGGAGAGCTACACTTAGATCAATCATAGAGCGAAGTTCACAGGAACGGTAACCATTCTAGTAGCGATGCAAGAGCGATAAGGAGGTGATTGACCTGCACCGGTCTGCGGGTGAATCAGTCAGCATGATTGATAATGATCAATTTGCTTCGATCCTTTCAAGTTGCACCGTACCTAGCCAACCATGCTAATCGGAGATCCGGGGGAAGGACAACAAACTAAACACAAAAAAGCAGTTCTTAAAGAAATGAGTTTTCAATCTAGATTTTAAAGTGAATAGCTCTAGTGGCTTCCTAATAACAGGATTCTAGCTTCATGTGAGCATGTGCTTTAATTGGTAGTAATAATTGTTCAGAGTTTAAAGAATGCTTTTGAAGTACCGACAGCTAATCTTCTTCGATGCATCCTTAGGCTAGAATAGTAATACTGTATAGCCATTCAATGAAAGATGTGATAAAATGTGGATTTGCCAGTCTCGTAAGATATTATCATTGACTGGGTTTTAGTTTAATGTTACCCAGGATGTTGTCATCCCAATTAATAATCATGTTCAAGTCAATGGTGATTAATAGTGATACATCTATGTGCCCATGACCTTCAGCTTGTGATTTAAATGAGTATGATGCATGGAGTGGCATGCCATCTTGCAACTTTTAAATACATGACTCCTTTTTATTATAATTTTGTCTTTCTACGTGACTTTACAGAAAGAAACAAATAATATATATGACTCCTCTACCTACGAACGCGTTAGAGGTTCCAGGGGTCTGTTCGTAAGTCGATTTATTCGTAAGTGCAAATTTACTCCTGTCAATTCCATGTTGTTCGGCATGTACACTAACCACGGGGAATGGCTTTAAGATAGTATACTCTTCTGCAGATGTAGATGCCACTGGTTCTTCATGTTCTGCAGACGTAAATGCCACCACCGCCATTTATTGCGTGGTGGTTGAGCTTACGACTCTCGGTCCTAACGGCCAACTGGACATACGGACAGGTTTGTTCGTATCTCTGAAAGTTCGTAAGTCGAATGTTCGTAAGTAGAGGAGTCCATGTGGAGCGTCTTATAAGGAGAATACGGTACAAGTATTTACTTTTTGCACTGCACTGGGGCATTGGGGGACTTCTGATTGGTCAGAATAACTAGGGGGTGGAGAATCCTCCCGCGCTTACCTAACCCCGCCCTATATAGGGCTCGCGCTCTGCAATTCTCGATTGTGATTGGCCGAAGCCTCGGCTTCTGCTACGTCATGACGTCACACAGTTGCTTCGCGGAAGGACGTCATCACGCTCAGTGAACCGGGGATTGCGTGTTTACGTCACTGCGCGCCCTGTGAGTCAACGACTACGACCCGATGACACCCTGGCAGCCTGCGCGCGATCATGTGGTCGCTCAGGTCGGCTTGTGATTGGTGGAGCTCTCCCCGCCCTCTTCCCCCGCCCCCCTCTCGCGCTGGTTATAGAGTCAGGCAAGGTACGCGGCGTCTTTAAAATTTAACGCTGTTCATTGTTAATTTTTAAATAGATTTCAAATTTTACAGCCATGCCGAGCCTCTCAAAGACGGTGGGCAGCAAGAGGGAAGAGCGCGCCGTGGGATACATGAGCCGCTTCGCGCTGGAGCGAGACGAGAGCTCGGACGCCGGCAGCAGCCTCTCCGCTACCGAGGACGATGACGCCTCCTCGGGTAACGTGGCCAGGCGAGGTCGGGGCTTCGGCCTATCCTCGCCTCGGGGTGTGGTGGAATTCGTACGCGTTTATCGCTGTTGGCAACGTGGTGTGCGAAATAAGTTCTATATACATACATGATGATAACCCAGTGTCCTTCCGCACGCACGTTTACCATAGCCTCGCGGTTCCGTGATGTAATAAAAAAAATCAACCGACTGTAAGCGAGCTGAATCCATCGCTCCATCTCCGCGGTGGAGGTACTCTTGGACACGCGGTCCATGCACATCCCGCAATTACACTACAATGCCCTGTGTAAGTGTTGCAGGGTAATAACATGCGATAGGGAGAGGTTACAGTAAAGCCATAATGTACAGTATACTTTACACGTGTCGACCACAACAACCTGGAATGAGCCCGATCCCGTTAGACTTCGGAAGCTGAGCAGGGTCAAACCCAGGGTGGTGCTTTCATTCGTTATCACAATGCGTAAGGTTCATCTTCTGGGTTCTTTAGGTAAAGTCACGTAGAATGGAGATAAAATAAAAAAAAGAACAATAATAATTTTATCTCCATTCTACGTGACTTTAACGAAAGAACCCAGAAGATGAATCCCTGCAGTCACGAAAGCTTTAAATCGAAACGCATAAAGTGTCACAAGGCCACTGGGCAGCGTGGTGGGCATCAGAGGGCAGTGCATCCAAATAATTGTTATATTGTACTTCTATGACCCCTTCTTTCACTAACCAGCACTGACCAGCGTGGCGGAGTCTGGTGAAATATCTTCCATGATCGACGCGGCGTTGGGGGGGGGGGAGACCTCCGTTAGAGTACTGACAAAAAAAAGTGTGAGTGGGGATGGGTATTGGATGGAAGAGAGACCTTCACCAATGAGTCCCGGACGAGTCGGGGCAACACGAATGAATTCCAGGGCAGCCACACAGGCAGATAACGCCAAATGCAGATAACACGAGGCAGTGACGTATGTTATTCGAAATGAGAAAAAAATATTTTCCTGGCTGGGCTTCTGCTTGGATTCCTGATTGCCTGTCACGGCCAAGTGTGTATCAGAATATTTATTTTTACTCCAGAAATCCGATGAGCTATAAAGCTCTTATTCACAGATGTTCATTGGGGGTTGGTCCCAACGTTGTACTTACACGGTGGTGATGATGTCACCGCGCAGATTTTTGTAATAACGTCGCCTCCACATCCCACAGCGTAAAATGTTCAGATAACACTATAATACTTTCAAATCCTATCAGACTGTTCGAAAACCATTTAGCTAGCTGGAAAAAAATGAGGGATGGACAGACGGTTACGTCCAAAATATGTGCAGGCTACCAAATTAGCTTTTGAGTAAAATTCCATTGTATATAATATTATAATAGGTCCGCAGTTGACTTTTTTTTTACAAAATGCTGAACATTACCTACTATAATCACCCAGAAATTACTGTCCGTCCTGCGCGTGACGTCACTCCACATGAGGCCCACCCCCCCCGCGTGATGTCACTCCACATGAGGCCCACCCCCCGCGTGACGTCACTCCACATGAGGCCCACCCCCTCATTAATATTCATGAGTGGGTGGATTTTTACACCAACACAGGAAGGTCGAGCTGAATAAAATAATTTATTATGCAAAGTCGCTTCAAATATGTTTCTTTACAGAAAGTGACGGTAAAAAATAAATATACGCAGCACATTGCTACATCCGTGCGTGATGTCACTGCAAAAGAGCCCTCCCCCCCCCCTTAATTAATATTCATGCACGCGTGGAGATTTACACTAACGCACAAGGTCGCACACTCCACATGCCACACCCCTACCCTCATTATTAATCATGAACGGATGACGTCACTCCACATGCCGCACCCCTCCACAATAACCATGAGTGTGTGACGTCACTCCACATGCCGCATCCCTCCCCAATAACCATTAGCAGGTGACGTCACTCCACATGGCAACCCCCCTCATTAATAATCATGAGCTGAACAATTTTTAAACATGATGCAAACCGTACCGAAAGATATAGGAATAGGTTTTACCCTTTTAACTGGTACAAAAACTGACAGCTTTATTCAAGGCATCATGTTTGCAATAACCACAACACAAGCAGTCAAAATGCAAACAAAAAAGACAACTCTGATAATAATATGCACTGTCCTTGAATTTGATTGGTCCACACCGGAGACAGCTTTTCTTAGAGCCTAGCCTCCATTGGTGTTGGACCAGAAGACGCCAAAAGGCGTGCCAGTTAAAAGGGTAAAACCAATTCCAATATCTTGTTACTGGCAAAGGAGGTCTCATAAGGTACCGAAAGAACCAAGAATATGAATTCCTGCAGTCACGAAAGTTTTAAGTCAAAATTTTTCTATTGACCATTTCAGATTCACTGCACTATACACCCGTCCTTGGACGGGCAAAAAAAACTAGTGGTTTATTGTTTAAGTAAAACACGTTGCTTTGAAAACAAATCGAATATTTAACGTTTCCATGCATTAATGTTTGTGCTTGTGTGTGCCTGTGTGTAGAGCTTGATGAGAATGATTGTGAAAGGAGAAGGATGGAGTGTCTGGACGAGATGTCTGATTTGGAGCAACAATTTATGGACATCAGAGACCAGTATGTGTAGTCCCATACTCATGAATGACTCGTATAATTTCGTGCACTACAGGTCTCATTTTCTTTTTGTGTGCACTCTAAAGTCACGCTCACTGACATTTTTAAATGCTTCATTTATAGGGATGCAACACGGCCGATTTGTTTTCTCTACAACATTACATATTTTTTAAAAAAAATTGCCGCCATCTGTTAGAGGGTTATAATTTGAAACTATCCACATTTGTACGAACAATTTTATTGGAGGTGGTCAATCTTGATTGACAAAGTATAATAACCATTGGAGAATTTTGTCATGTGCTACAATTATTGACTGGCATCTGCCACAGGAACGTAGAATTTCCATGACTTGCCACCAGCAGATATGAGCGACGTAATCATGGGAGAGAAAGTGAGCTGCTCAATTCAGTCCTGAAGAAGCTGCCAGCACATTAAGCGACACGCAAATAATATTGTGGTTCAACCCGTTAACATGTCGGAGAGCTATAAAATACTGAAGTTTAGAACCTGGGGGCCGCACCATTTAGGTTTTGTCTAATATTAACGTGTATTTTGGATTTATTGTAGGCTTTACCGTGAGCGCCTCAATCAGGTGGACAGCAAACTGGAAGAGGTGACGGCAGAGAGGGGACCAGAGTACATGGAGCCCCTCAATGCCCTGAGACGAAACATGGAGATCCGCACAGAGGTGGCAGGTATTCATCATCATTATAATCATCTTCATCGGCATCTTCATCACAATCGACATCTTCATCACAATCAGCATCTTCATCATCGTCCGCATCTTCATCACCATCAGCATCTTAGACATTGTCTACCGAGAGATATTTAACTTGCACTTAAAAGTAACATGAACAAACCATGTTAACTGAATATACATTGTTGCCTCTACGGAAAAAAATAATAGACACCTTGACGCATAGTAATTACGCTTGTGAGAGGCTGTATAGGTTGCGTATTGGTTCAGGTGGCAGTGAGTGACCACGTGGTGACTAGCCAACGGAACTTCCTTAGAGAATATTTAACACGTAGCCCATTGATCATGATTGTAATGGGTAGTTCGTAAGTGTATACGGTATGCAGTATACACATAAATGCTGCGTTAAGGTAAATGCCATGCCCTGAAATTGCTTTCTCACGTGTGTAGACAACTGACGTGTATAATCTCGTACATGCTCAATTATTTTTAGATTACCATCGCTGAATGTTGTAACAAACATACCACAGACCTGATAGGCAATGTTTATCAGGAAAATGTATCGCCTTAAACTTTAAATGCTAAACTTGGTTGTTTTATTACAGTTAATGTTTTCTTCTTGTGTACTGCAGTAAATTACAAATAACCGTGTCTATAATGTGTGGTTATGGGAAAAGGCTCCCACTCACTTGCCCCAGCTACAGCTTGGACTGTCCGGACTCATTGGTTAATTTGTCTTGTAATGCCTGAGCCAAACCACCTCTTACAGTCACATTTTTCAACCAGATATATTTAACAAGATGCTTCACCCACTGAAGTGTTTTTTCTTTGTTTTTTCACAGGCGTCTACAGAGAACTGTGCCTCATTGGTGTAAAAAACAAGTATGAGTGTGAGAAGCAGGCAGCCATGCAAAACCTGCAGGTGTGTGCATGTCTGAGTAATAGTGCTGTGTTGTGTGTTTTAAGCTGATCTGCTTGTTTAAAGCCTCTGGGGGGGAGGGATCCTTGGGTCTACTTTCTCATTGTTTGTCAAGGCAACCAAAGGATTGAGAGCTCGTTTTAGAAGTAAAAGAACACATCCAGCAGAAGCTGTACAAAATAGCATACACTGAATTAAAAGTGGAGTTTTTATATTTAATTATTAAATATTACTTTGGCATCACCATTTAGTTTGTCACGGAAATGTCCAAAACCCTTTAGTTTTTAGAAAACAAAAGTTATTTTATTTAGTCACGTTGTTGTTTGGCTCACTGTAGAACACATTGAGATGAAAGGAATATTTAATTTTCGGCGACCTCTCCTGGCAGAATGAAAAGGTACTTGTGTTTGAAGCTTTGCGCGGGGATCTTGAAGAAAGAATCCGCCGTCTGGAGGAGGATCGATGCAATGCAGACATCACATCTGGTTTGCAAATCATTAACATGAATTCACACACATTACTTTACATCGATGTGGCCCCATTCATAAAAGTTTATGAGATCAACCCCGACCCCTCTGTTTGCCTCCATCCATCCAACAGTATAAATGGGTACACCAGTTAATCGATTGGCAGGCTACGTGTAGTGTGGTAAAGTGATGTATCTCTACTTACTCTCTCAGAGGAGCGCTCTAGTGGAGGCACTTTCGTGAGTATTCTTGTGAGCAAGCGATGGTATGTCTGCAATCTTGACCCAACCGTATGGATGATTAAACGTAAATGTATAATTATATCATGGACCATATGCAATCAAGTAATATAATATTGTTTGATGGGAAAATACAGCCATCATCACAGCTGATTCATTTATACATGAAGGTGTGGTTACCACGTCCATATTTAAGGGGTGGGATTAGCATGACCTACGGTGGGAAAGAAGTTCAACATATATACAAGAGCCCTGGACAAGAAGATTACGTATTCTTTGTAATACAGCGTACGACATCACCTCGCATATGAATTTTGTTTGCAGAACAATGGGGTGACGACACGCCCTCCAAGTGGAACAAACGAAAGTCCGATGTCTTTGGTGCTGCGAAACGAAAGAAGCCCGTGACTGTCGCAAATATCCTCTGTGTTGATCGTATGCATCATGATTATCACATGCACTACTTACCAGTAACATTTTATGAATGTATTTTAATGCAAAATTTGTTTATTTAGTAATACGTTTCGATTTTGGAAAGGTTTGCCTGTTACTCAGTAGCTACTAATATGTAACTTCATATTCCCATATAAAAAGAAACTGTTCATTAAAAAATATTTATTGTCAGTCCCCATGGTGTAAAGTACAGGTTCCAACTCTGTTGTACTATGAAGAAGGGCCAGTGCCTAAAACGTCACCTATTATACTTTGCCTTGTAAGGCCACAGTGTTATTCATGAATGTGTTGAGTATTTTGTTACATGTACTACTCACCGTTGCCCTGTTTGAGGAATATGCATATTCTATACAGGGTTGTCTCAACTTGGATTAGAAGCTTAGTTGCCTCTCTCCACCTAACAGTATTAATGGGTACACCGGTTAGTGGAAAGGCAGGTCGCTTATTGTGGGGTGAAGTGATGTCGCGCTACCATGGAAGAGTAGGCCACTTATCCTCTTAGAGGACCTCTAGTGTAGGAACTTTTGCTAGTAGTAGTGTGAGCAGGAGATTGCAGGGCTGCAACCTTGCTATTACCCTACCTTTATAGATAGCAGTTGACTAACATGAATGTACTTTTTGTTTGAAGTAAATCAGGAGCAGGATATTTCTTTTTCATCACGTTATTAAAACTCAAAACACTAATATGTCCCCATGGTCAAAATAATAATGGGACGGAACTACATTTATTTTATAGGCTTGAGCCAATGTTGAGAATTCCACTTTACTTTAGTGGAGGCCAGTATCTCCATAAAAAAGTACTGTTAACTTCCATTCACCTAAAAGGGATGATAGATTGTTTAATCAGTCCCTGACAAGGTTTTAAATTTGAAACATTCTAGTTGCAAGTAGGGCACTTGATCCACAGGACAGCCCTGTCTGGTAGATGTAACACTACTAAATAAACCCATAATGCAATCATGACATTGTTTTCAAAGTGCATGTGGGAAATTAAAATTGTTGAAGATTTTTCCAAATGGCCACTTGAGGGGTATTGGCACCATTCGATAAAAAAGGCCAAAGTTGAATTTAAACAATATAATGAACAAATAGGCAGATTAGTCAGTTTGTGAATTAGAACTGAAACTAAAATGCATAATATGTAGACTAAAATGCGGCAAAAACCCACTGCCATCATAGTTGACTAGATTTACTTCACAGATTTAACAATTTAAATGCAAAGTAAAGTTCCACTGCTTTCAGTTTCAAGGTGAAAAATGCATTATCATGAATTTTATTTGAAGACAATGGACCAGTGTTATCCAGCAATTAACTGTTGTGCTTCCAGTTTTACAATTATATATTCTTTGTTTCTGAATGCAACTGAAAGTAGCGGTCACGTATTACAATAATTCATTATCATTTGTTTTTCACGTACAATAGCTACAATCAGTCTAAATATATGCCCATTTAAAAAAAAACTGGTCATAGAAAATAAAAAGTCACACTAATCAGGCCCCATGGAGTTAAAAGCAGTCTCTAGCCACTTATTAACTCTATCTATTTGGCCTCTGTTTATGTGCAATGAAGACGGTACATTGCCTGAAACGTCACCCTTTCCTTATGTAAGGCCACTGCTGTCGACGAGCGTGCGTTTCGTGTACAATGAAGTAGAATCTTGTCGTGAGGGTTGTTAGGTTTTATTGAGTTTTAATCCTATTCGAAGGCATGTCATTACATACATGGCTTACAATGGTAGTCGGTCCGTGCACAGAGGCGTTACAAAGATTATTTTCTCAAGGCCAGCACCACTGCAAGTGTTTTTGTTTTCCTTAATCACTTTGCACGCCCGTACATTGTCTACATGCTGAAGGAGGTGGATATACTGGAAGACTGGACTGCAATCAAAAAGGCAAGGCGTTTTGCATTTTCATACATATTGTTCACAGGAGTAGTATTGCTCACTCCCGAGTGCATTGTTCTTCTAATATACCAGCTGGCGGGGTAGTATCACGTGATAACTGGTTGTCACTGACCGGCTCTGATGTCTGGTAGTGATTCAAATCAATGACAGTAATTTCTGCAAGGAAGTTGCAGAGTACTTTGTAAATTGGACGTTAAATAGCCTGTGCCTCTATCTACAATAGTAAACCATTGTTTTACTTGTTTTGTAGTACACTGATTGCGTGTAAAATGGCCAATTTTGTAAAAAGATCCTTACATAATGGCAGGCCACGTGTCTCTTTAAATCGACCGTGATAGGTCCACATTTGGTTACAAAGAATATTGATCGTTGATCTTGCTGTTAAGACAATCATTCAAAGGATTGTTATTTAAAATCTACTTTTAAGAAGTATAAATCAACCAATATGTCTGCACCCGTCCCTAGTGCCGGTGCTGCCCTCTTCCACCCCTCGATGGGAGACGTAAATAACAAATGGCTCTTACCTTGTAGCTATACATACCAAAGCCCCCCCAACCCAGTGTATTGTCAAGAGAATATAAGCTGCATATGTCGAACATGAACGGAAGTGTATAGTTTTTGTGCAAGACCTGACATCTGTATAACCTGTTTCTCTCCCCACAAATAATAACTGATCTTCAGTTGCTTGTTACACATTTGTATTGACAGATGTAACAACATACACAAAAGGTGTGCTGCTCACAAACAGCAGGAAGGCACGACTCGCATTATGCCCTGCATGACCTCCACATTGCATGTCCAATGCTCTAGGCCTTGCCCAAGCCACTTGCTCGGCAGAGCTGAACGTTTGGCCGTATTGTTGTTTTCCCAGTTGTTAGCGATGGGTTTTCTCGTCATTTACACGACGCGTTGGATTTGAATTTGTGTTGACAGTGCTACAACAACCACTACCCGCACTGGAGGGGCATTGGTCAAGAGAACAGGTGGAACCAAGACTGAGCAACTTTGAAGGACTTAAAGAAAGGATGTTCCCCCCCCCCCCCCCCCGATTACTGGGCATGCTGGGATGCTATATTACGTTGAGTGTGTTGTGTTTTTTGACATGGGGGTGGGGGGCGAAACAATCGCGTTGATTTGTGTGCCTGCCATAAAACTTTAGTGTTTGGCATGTGCTGTATTAGGAGGGCTCCCCCCCCCCCCACTCCTCTCACTGATCATAACCCATTGTATAGGCATGCGGGTTCTATTAATGGCGATATGCTGTGCATTGTGTGCCATGTGCTGTTCATTCACAAGAGCTGTGCACTGCACATGTTGGCAGGGTACAATTGCTCACTAGTTTTCCCACGGGAGACTTTCCCCGTAAGAGAATGTTTTAATGGTGAGCTGTAAGTACGGTTGTATTTCTTTTGCCTGCGGTACACGGGCCAATATTTTTTTACGTGTCCATTCAATGCAGTTGCTATCTTCGTAAGTGTTGAAAATGGTGCTGAGCTGTGCATTTCCCTAACAATTTTGAAGCTCTTTAAAAGACATTTCCGCTAAGAACAGGAAATGGAAATTAATCCATTGCATTATACCTTTGGAAATTTTGGGAAGTACCCAATATACCAATAGGTATAGTAAACTAATGTCAAGTAAGGCAGAGGTTGCAGTATAACTAGTTCACCTGAACCTAGTGAGGCCAATACGTGAAACTTAATGGCATAATTAACTACTTTGAATTTGGTAGGAAATTATGCTTAAATGATTGATTTTGTGATTCATGTATGTATGTATGTGCAGTGTTTTACGAGTGTAAATAGCCATTTTTGACATTGGTATATTCATTCATGTGCAGTATAAACATTTTTATGCAATGCAGTTTTTAAAAAAAGAAGTGTTTTTTTTTTACTATCGAAATAATATTGAGAATTTATTTTCACAGCTAAGTCAGCTTTGTTTAGGAATCACCTGATTGGTTTATATTGAGGTATATATATGCAGCCATTGTGAGCATTTGTGTTGCAGTTTAATTTTTTTGGTGCACCGTTGAGATTTTGCATTCAAACCTGACCGACCATTATGATTCGAAGTGTCGCTGATTGATTATCTCAGCCGGTCACGAATGACTGCACGCAAAAAACCCCCATGACATTACATTTGAGCATTCATTTAAATTGGATTAATTCCTTCTCCTTGGACTTGAACATTTCATTTTACTTGGCATGCGATGAGCACTCGTTGCAAATAATTTAAGAAGTAGTTCCTTAACATTTTTCAGGGCCATTCTATGAATTTAACATGGAAATATTGTCTCGTAACAATGCCGATACTATCTGGCGGAGCCAGTGGTGGTGGGGGGGGGGTGTCGGATCATTGGGGTTTATTAGTAATTAATCGGCATTTTTCGCCCCCCCTCTGCCACTGTGTAGCATATTATTACGTGCCAGGGACTCTACGAGATGATAGGACAATAGTCTTGAGTCCATAATTGGCAATAAGTAACGACAAAGCAGTTATAAGCGACTCACAGAATTGTGCGCAGTTGCGTCTACAGAGTCCACGACTTCCCTGAAGGCATCGACACCTTCAGCGAGCGCGATGCCGATCACACAACGCGGTTTGAATTCAACCCTCGATCGATGTCTGCGCCATCGCCGCACAGGCATCGAACAAAAAGCAAGGGACAAGTCCTTACTAACAACTCCTTACTTACTAACAACTCCTTACTTATTACTAACAACTCCTTACTAACAACTCCTTACTTACTAACAACTCCCTACTAACAACTCCTTACTAACAACTCCTTACTAACAACTCTTTACTTACTAACAACTCCTTACTAACAACTCCTTACTAACAACTCTTTACTTACTAACAACTCCTCTATCATTTTTCATTGCTGGAGGGGTTGCCCCCCCCCCCCCACCTGAAAATCCTGGCTCCGCCTTTGCCAATACTGCAATTGGATTGTTACTGTGGGTTAAATGCAAACAATTGCAAGAAACTTTTATTTCAAACCAATAGAATAGTAAAACGAGTAGAGAGCAGCCGTTTTGAAGCAAGACGAATATAATAAATAGAAAATAATTACATTTGACGAGATGAAATAGAGCTCATCTTGTCATCAAAGTTGTCACCAGTGTCTCCCTGCTCGTACAAACGATGGTGCTCAAATCCTGTCCTTTGGTCCCGCGGGAAATTCCGCACTTCCAATGCGTGACTCAGTATCTTGGAGAACACCCACCATGGGAATGATAACACGGTCATGTATTCTATCGTAATATAAAAAGGGAGATGTATTCACGAAAAAAGTCCATGGCTATGACATTGGCTCGTGTTATTTTATAACGGAAACAAAAGTCTCGTCAAACTGCATTGAAATCATAGCCTCATCGTCCTTTTGAATGACCCAAGTAACTAGTTTCAAACGTTAGTTGTTATTTTTTTTAAGTATGGGTTGTAATACTGACAAATGGATTAACCTTGAAAGTGAAAATGAGCAGAGTTATTTTTATAAATTGCGTGGCCATTTTGTGTAACCGTTTAGCAAGTGGTCTCCTCCCCCTTTTTACTATTTTAAGCAACGTAGCTTGTTACCCCGTATGTGCACCATGTGTGTATGATCTCGTACGTAATGTTAGTATCTGTTTACAGTCGCCAGCAGTGGCACGAACGTGTGCAATATGACGGGCCCGGTGAAGTGTATTTAATGAGGACTTGGTGGTCGATGGTGAACTCCATCTTGGAAAGAGTTAATAATCCGATCAAATAAGTTAGTCATGTAATCTGTTTAACTGTTTATACCGTATTTGAATAATGGGATATAAATATATAGTGTACCGTAATACATTTCATTAGTTGGTAGACGATTTCGCTTTGAGTCGCGTCAATACAGGTATAGTTAGATTTCGATTTAAAGCTTTCGTGACTGCAGGGATTCATCTTGGTTCTTTCGGTCAAGTCACGTAGAAGGGGAATAATAAAATAATAAAACTAAAACAATAAAATATAGTTAGATTGCGAGTGTACATCACATAACACGGTGTAACACAATTTTTGTTACTGGGTACGAATTGTTATTTTTTATTGCTTATGCCTAAAAAGTATATAAAATGGCTATTATTCCCCACAAACTTTGCTTTTGTGACCAGGACTTAATGTGAACGAAAGACACAAATGCACACCACGTTTTCTCATCGAAAATAGGTACATTTCAAAATATCGCTGTCCTGGTCACAAAAGCAAAGTTTGTGGGGAATAATATCAACTTTCTGTACTTTTGACGCATACGCAATTAGGAAATAACACTTACTACCCAGGAACAAAAAAAATGTCGTGTTTCACACAGCGTACAATTACCGCATTAAGTTTGCATACCAATAAAAGTACTGACAAAGAAATGCTGACCCATCAAGTTGGGAGGTGTCTCGATGTCATTGGCCACCCGAGTACGAGTTTGGCCGGTGGTAGCGTGAGCCTGGCACTTGTGGTGCAGGGGAGTTGTTGCGCTGGTGTGCTACTTTACCAGGAGACGTTACTTTCGTCCTTTTCTATTACGCGATGAAGTGCCGTGGGTTCGGGTTGACAGTTCGTTTCGCTCACTGCCACGCACATTTGTTGTTGTTGTTAGTATCTCGGTTGTGCTTTGCATCCCCCTGCCGCTTGTTTTTCACTTCGTTGTACCACGGTGCGTGCTGTTTCTGGCTTGGGTGAGCAATCCCGGATGCTCCCAGCCACGTGGAGCAAAAACGTCAAGACGGTCCCAACAACAACAACAACAGCGCGCGCGCTACAAACGAAAACCGCGTGGTGCGCGTAGGCTCTGTAATGCTTCAGATTTCCACCAATCAAGTCGCGTGCATGAATTTAAGATACTGCTTTCTTGCGCACAATGGCACGTGTAGTGCAGTGGGTAGTTGAAGAACGCTTTGTTAATTGGTGAATTGTTCAGCGCAACGCCTTGTTATTCGGCTGGACAGAGATAGTGGTACAATGTTACGAGGCTGTTGCAATTACATGCAAGGGTGAGCGCAACAAGTGTGTACATGTGCAGCCGTTTTGTCAATCCACTGCTGCATGGGTATCTCCGCAAGCCGTGTGGGCCGCGGGGGTTATTCGAGCATACTTCCAACGCTGTGTCGGTGCAGGTTAGTTAAGGCAGAGGTCCTATACGTGGGAGCATATAAAGGACAGTACAACAATGGGAAATGTTCTGTGCTGCTGCGAAGCACGTTGCTTCGGAGCGGCTGCAAACACGCCGTATACAGGCTCGACGAGAACCGCTTGGCTTTGTCAGAGCTGACGAGATCCGGCGCATGCTGGGTGATTTGGTGATGTGCTCCAAATGTTGTGCGCGTTGAGCAGTGGTTGTCACCCAGGGGATGGGCACGCGGACCCCTGGGGGGACGTGGCAATGTCCCGCGGGGTTACGTGAGTTGGTTTATAAGTTCGTGAGATTGTGCCACGTGTAGTCGTCGGTGAGCAATCATGTATGACTGCCAATGTAAAATATCTACGGTAAAATGTGAGATGGTAGCCTGGGACGATGTGAAAGACAGTTTAACACGCAGTCGGAGGCTTTCGCGACCAAATATCATCCATAAGAGAGGTTTTTGGGTTAGATCGCGTAAATATATAAATGTGTCGTTAAAACCCGCCACCACCTTACACGGCCAACTAGTAAGGGTTGTCACGTAAGCAGAACGTGGCCAATTCGTCACTGGTACAGCACTAAGTGGCACGTTCTGTTTTACGTGACAACCCTTACGAGTTGGCTGTCGTGTGGTGGCGGGTTTTAACAGCACATCTATATATTTACGCGATCTAACCCAAAAACCTCTGATGGATATTAAAGACCTTTCGAAGCTCATTGGTCGTAAACAATGCGATTTCCAAGAGTAAGCGGCAAACGTGAACAAGTTACGTCATGCATGCAGAGCTTCCGTTGAATTTGCTTTTATTCGCTTACAGTTACTAGCTAGTTAGGATACCTCACAATAGACGACTGGTTACAATATTGAAGCTTATTATTCATACATTTATTGCTCAAACCATGTTGAGTCACGGTGGGGGTGTGGGGGTGGTCTCGGTTGAAACAACATTCAACGAGGGGGGGGGGGTACAGTAGCCCCCAAAAAAGTTTGAGAACCACGGTGTAGAAAGTGTGAGAATCGGCACTCGTGACAGGAGATCACGAGGAAGATCGGTGTCCGAGTGATCATGCAAAAATACTGGAGCCGGTGCGCTAACCACTGCACCCCCCCCCCCCCCCCACTACCTGGTTAAGAACTAAGTTTTTATTAAAATCGTGTTTCAATTGCTCGCCTCATCTCACAGTAAGTGGTTGGTAATTTAGTTCCCCACCGGCACTTACCGTGCACAAAAAGTGACGATGGGCCCTGGTGGTACGAGACATTTTCATTTTGGCCAGGAATACCAATATCTATTCTGTTTAGAATTCATTTGGCGTCCCTTTTCCAGGGCGCTTCTCAACGCAAACCGACGACCGCACACAAAGGGGAGCCACAGGCGAGGTGGTTGAGCGGACTTTGAGTTAGGGAGGCGACGGAAGTGATGGAGGGACAGGGGCTGGGACGGCAGCGGATGTTGCAGGGGTAGTGAAGGAGGGACTACGGTGGAGTGTGATGGTGAATGAGGGCGACGAATAGGTGCAACGTGAATGAGAGGCAGCGTGGTACGGTGCACATGCGTGAAGTGATGAGAAAGATGGATGCTATGGCTGGGAGTGGATGAGGGTAGGTGAAGGTTGGTAGGGGCAGAGGTCTGGTGGCCGGACAGTTGGGCTGATTGAGGGGCACAGTGGAGGGCCGGAGGAGAGATGTGGTTAGGCTTCACATAGAGCGAGAGGTGGGAGCCGGGTCAGGAAATAGTCGTCGGAGTGTTACTTTGCAAGGACACACGTGGGTGACTCCACCCAAGGACACCTGGGTTCTCGCAAGAGCAAACTCAAGAGTAACGACGCACTGCACGCAATATCAGAATATTTAAAATTGACTGGAGGAATCCGATGAACCGGTAAGAGTGCAAAGTATGGGCAAGGTAAGCAAGTCACTAAAAAATAAATAAATCCTGAACGAGAGTGCCGCTGTGCTTTCTGCGATACCATAATCACGGCAGCGTTTAAGTATCGGCACACCTAGATACTACGAACATTTAATTATTGAACACAGCCTGTATAAGTGTGATATCGAGCATCTGCGGTGTGTTTATATATCCGTAATTGAAAAAAAAAACAGTTAATATTAATACATAAAAAAGTAATATAAACCTAAACAATATATGTGAAGAAATGTGGTGCTTTAGATCTTTAACATCTAGCGTGACTTTGCTGCTAAGTGGAGAGCGTTACAAAGTGTGTACAGCGTTGTGAAAAATGCGAGCGATTTGCATAGAACTTGGGACAGGCTCTTTTGATTTATGTCTGAACCGAATAAAGGTTTAATAGTATT